TTTTTTATTTTACTTCCTCTTTTCATACCCTTTCTCTGTTCTGTTCCTGAACTCTTTCAATGGCTGTATTCCTTTGGAGTATGTAGCATTTCCTTTATCCTTTCTGAAAATATTATATAAAATAGCCTTCATCTATTAATATTTATTGATCCACCACCATAAACTGGGCCTTTTTTTAGGTGCTTGGCTGGAGACAAAGATGTTAGAAACAGGGCTCTCTAGCATAGTAAACATAATAGATAAGTAATAATGAACAAAACTGGTATGTAAACTCAGAGTGTGTTAGGTGCTATGTTATTGGGTTTTGTTTTGTTTTGTCAAATTGACACAGGTTAGAGTCACCTGGGAAGAGGGAACCTTAACTGAGGAATTACCTCCATTGGATTGGGCTGTCAGTAAGTCTAGGGGGCATTTTCTTGATTAATGATTGATGTGGGAGGGTTCAGTCCACTGTGGGTGATGCCATCTGAGAGCAGGAGAGCCTGAGTTGTATAGGAAAGCAAGGTAAGAAAGCCATAAAGTGCGAGCCAGTAAGCAGCATTCCTCTGTGGCCTTTGCTTCAGTTCCTGCCTCGGGTTTCCCTGACGATGAACTCTAACCTGTAAGCCAAATGAACCCTTTCCTGCTCAAGTTGTGTTTGGTCATGGTGTTTCTCACAGGGACAGAAAGCGAGCTAGGGTAAGTGTACTGGGAAGATTCCTGGGCCCAGGGTTGGGAGAAGTATTACAGTTCTAAGAAAATTGACTGGCAAGCTCATTTAATCACTTGAGCTCAGTGTGTTGGCAGTGCCTGCAAACCCAGCTACTGGGGAGGCAAAGGTAAATTGCTCGAACGCCCATTTTGAGACTAGGTGTACCAGCTGGGTGTGGTGGTGCACGCCTGTAATCCCACCACTCCGGGAAGCAGAGGCAGGCATATCTCTCTGAGTTTAAGGCCAGCCTGGTCCAGGACAGCCATGGATACACAGAGGAACCCTGTCTTGAAAACAAACAAACAAACAAACAAACAAACAAACAAAGGACCTGAAAAGACTAAGGCTATAACATGGAAGCTAGATGTTCTTCAAAGAAATCAGAGGCAGCGCTGGGCATGTAGTTTAGTAGTAGAGCACTTACCTAGGAAGTACAAGGCCCTAGGTTCAAATGTCAGTAACATGGACACACAGGAAGTGATAATCTATTATTTGGGACTGGAGAGGTGGCTCGGTGGTTAAGAGTGCATGCCGCTCTTTCAGAGGCCTGGGTTCTGTTCCCAGCATCCACATGGTAGTCTATAGGCCCCTGTAGCTCCAGTTCCAGTGTATCTGATGCCCTCTTCTGGCTTCTTTAAGCTCTTGTACATATACAGTGTATAGATACTCATGGAAGCTCACATACATGCACATAAGTAAAAAATAAAGAGTGAAGATAGTGTTTGTGTGGTGGGGGCGGGAAGAAGGGAAAGTGGAAGATATTTGAGCAGACAGTTGAAGAAGAAAGCATACCATGCAGGTCTTTGTGGGGAGGAACGCTATGCAAAAGGCACAAAGTATGCAAAGTTCTGTGGCAGAGGGCAACTTTCTTGAGGCCAGTTGGCTGAAGCAAAACAGAGGAGGAAGAACTGAGAAGATGGGATCACAGCGGGTTGTGGGGAAGAAGCTGGCCAACATTTAAGGAATTTCAAATAAAAAAAAAATCTGAGTGTAATGGAACTCCATCAGAGGTTTTGAATGGAGTGAAATAATTGAGTTTTTTTTTAAATATTTATAATGTAACTAAAAGATAAATAAAAGCCCATAGCACTATTCCAGAAAATAAATGCAAACAGAGAGGGTGTGTGTGGGATAGTTTTATGTCGATTTGACGCAAGATAAAGTCATATGAGAGGAGGGAATTTCAATTAAGAAAATGCCTCTATAAGATTGGGCTGTAGGCAAGCTGGCAGGGCATTTTTTTTAAACTGATGATTAATGAGGGGAGGGCCCAGGCCATTGTGGGTGGTGCCATCCCTGGGCAGGTGGCCTTGGGTTCTACAAAAAAGCAGACTGAGCAAGCCACAAGGAGCAACTTAGTAAGCTGCATCCTCCATGGTCTCTGTATCAGTTCCTGCCTCCAGGTTCCTGCCCTGGTTTGAGTGCCTGTCCTGATTTCCTTCAGTGATGAAACAGTGATATGGAAACATAAGCCAAACAAACCCTTCCCTTCTCAACTTGCTTTTGGTCATCGTGTTTTGTCATCACAATAGTAACCCTAAGATGGGGACATTTTTGGAAGATTCAATGCAGTTTTTGTTTCATGGTAGAATACAGGAAGCTAAGGGTGAAGAAGCATAATTCACTATTTATAGCTCCTCAAGACAGCAGTTGTCAGGTTTGACTTGCTAGCCTGGGAATAACACTCTGAATTGTCCCGGGCCTGCCATGACAATTCATATCTGGCAATCTCATATCTAGCAAGTAGCAGTCACATAGACATGGTTGTGGAATAAATGAATGTGGAGTTAGTGAAATGGAAAAGACTGATGCTACTTGATCCTTAGTATTGCTATAGTTACATATTTTAAGTGACACCAGTAGTTGGCTGTGGAGCATGTAGGTTGAGTGACCCAGGACAACTGGCATGGGACTGGAGTGAGGTGAGAGATGTGTCCAAACCCCAAAAATCTCATTTTGAGACCGTTAGGAGTGGGGCTGCTACCTCCTTCTGTGCCTGCATGCCCCAGGGCTTATAGGCTGGCAGCCCTAACTCTCAAGGCAGTCAAGTAGCTGGCACCTGGATGCAAACAGAGCACAACCAATGGAATGCATTCACCCCCAAATCCCTTCCTGCTCCCCAAGGTTTATATAGTCTTTGTCCACTTCGAATAGACATAAGCTGTTTCACTGGGCTGTAACATTTGAAGGGCTGTTTCATTGGGTTTTCTCTCTCAGGACATTCACCACTGGACCCTTGGACCTGCTCCTGCCATCCCTCGGTTCTGCCCGCCCTGTTCGCCGTCCCACTGCTCTGCTTCTTGTCCCTCTTGGTGAAGGGCTATAATCACCTGAAAGAGCTGTAACATTCCTCAAAGAAGCATACCCCTCCCCCTGACTCCCAGCTGGACCTGGATCCGGAAGACTCTACCCGTCCCAGACTTTGCAGGAGGTCAAAGGACAATGTACTGGAGTTGGTTCTCTTCTACTCTGCAGTCCCAGGGTCATCAGGCTTGGGAGCTATCTTGCTGGCCCTTTAACTGTGCTTTAAAACCTTGATAAGCTACTCTATTCAAGTGACAGTATTATCAGTAGGTGGTAAGAAAACACAAATAAGCCAGCTTTCAGGGTCTGAGACTTGGCAACTGGTGTTAGGCTGCACTTGAGGGAGGAGTCCGGATTCAAACACTTAAAGGTCAGGGTCCAGGTCTTCTACCTTCTTAGGGAATCTTTTGCCTGGGACCTCCCTTCCCAAGTCCCAGCCACCATCTCTTCCCAGGGAGGAGGCCTTCTTTACATTTCTTTGCCTTCTGTCCCAGGTTGCTTCTTTTTTCTTTTCTTTTTCCTTCCTTCTTTTTTTTTTTTTTTTTTTCAAGACAGGGTTTCTCTTTTTAGCTTTGGCTGTCCTGGACTTGCTTTGTAGACTAGGCTGGACTTGAACTCACAGAGATTATAGGCATGCGCTGCCGTGCCCTGCTCCCAGGTTGCCTCTTACGGGGATATGTTTAAAAAAAAAAAAAAAACCTTATTTTAATCTCTATCTGTGAAAGCATATGCCACGGTGGGCGCCTGCAGAACACCTGGAGCTGGAATTACAGGTAGTTGTGAACTCCACCGGGGACATATGTGCGGGGGAAACACTCAGGTCTCCTGGAAGATAGAAAGTGCTCTTCAGCCCAGGTATGGAGATAGTTCTGATAAGCATCCTCTCCCCTGGAGAGAGTCCTCTCCCAGGTTCCCCATAGTATTAATGGTCAATTTGAATAGATCTAGAATCCCCATAAAGACAAGCCTCTGGGCATGTTTGTAAAGGATTACCTAGATTCGGCTAACTTTGTGAAAACCTGGCCCCAATGTGGTTGGCACCATTCCATGGTCTGTAGAAAAAAAGAGACAGCCAGGAGAGCACAAGCATTCATCCACATTTGCTTTCTGGCTATAGCTGCAATGTGACCAAGCTGCTTCAAGCTCTTGTGCCACGAGTTCAAACCACGTTGTCCTGTGCCCTCAACCTGGGTCTTGTGCCACGAGTTCTAACCACGTTGTCCTGTACCCTCAACCTGAGCCAAAATATGCCCATCCTTTTTACACCTCTCTTGGGGACACTTCTTCCATCCTCTCCTATGGGAAGAACCTCCTTCTAGTTCTTTCCTAAGGCGGCACTTCTGTTCAGCATCCTCTTCCCGAGGAGGAGGGTCTCTGCCCAAGGTCTTCTTCTACGGGGTGGGTTCTTCTTTTACGGGGAGGAGGGTGGGGGCTCGCTATCCAGCCTCCTTTCCTCGTGGGGGAACCTTCATTTCAGGTCTCCCTCCGTGGAGCACTCCAACCTAACATCCCTTCCCTGGAGGGAATTTCTATTCCAGGTTCTGTTGCAATAGGACTAGTTGGCCCAGTAACACATGCCCTGGGGGCAAGTCTTCTTTCCAGGTCCCCTCCCATGGTGACACTTCTGGCCAGTATCCCTTTCCTTCCCCTCAGGAGCCTCTCCCTCCCAGGTCCCATCAAGGGAAAGCATCCATTATAGTAAGGGGGAGTAAAGGGGGGGGGGCGCTGGTATCCCTTCCCCAGAGGGAAACCTCTGCATGAGGACCCCACCAATGGAAGCCCTTCCTCATGGTATCTGTCCCTGACAAGACACTCATTCCCTAGGACACTCTACAGCCCACCCCACCCCGCCCCCTTCAGCCAGCATTCAGGCCTCTGGGGGGCGTCTTTGCCCCCGACGCCCCACTGAGGACCCTAAAAGACCCCCTTCCCTCCCCACGAAGGAGCAGGACTTCCGCTGGGCCCCCTCCCCTCAGGCGGGACTTCCGCCATCGCCCCCCCTCCCCCCCGCCGCGCCGTGTTGTCCTCTGCGCCTGAGGCAAAACAGCTAGTCTCGCGCTCTCTGCCTTGCAGCAGCGCGGGATCTGGGTGACGCGGGCTGCGGAAGCCGGAGCTGTGCAGACCGCGTCCCCGTCTCCTCTCCTGTCGCCTGTCTCCCCCCCCCTCCCTCGCTCTTCTCTCCGCCTCGTCGGGCTCGGCTAAGAGCGAGTGGCAAGATGGCGGCGCCCAGGATGCCACCCTCCCGGCTGTCGGGCGTCACGGTGCCGGCGCCCATCCAGGACCTGGAGGCCCTGCGCGCGCTCACGGCGCTCTTCAAGGAGCAGCGTAACCGGTAACCGCGCGGGGCCTGCTGCCGAGGAGGAACGGGGTCCGCGGAGAGGGCTCTGTGCTGCGCGGCGGGCGAGGCGGGCGAGGCGGGGCGCCGGGCTCGGCAGGCTCGGCCCACGCGCGGCTTGTGGCTCTGTGGCGCGCGCCTAGGCCTGCTCTGGACGAGGCCGCCTGGGCAGGCGATGGCAGCGCCGCTCCCCAAACTGGCTGGGAGGGAGCTGTTGGTTCGGCTCCTCGGGCGAGGGCCCTGAGGGCGGTGGCCGGGGGAGGCGTGTTCAGGCTTGCTTCCCCACCACTGGGTTAAAGGGAGCCTGCCGATCCGGACAGGCTTCTTGACATCTGCTCAGCATTGCTTCCAGCCTTTCTAGCCTTAAAAAAAAAAAAAAAAAAAAAAAAAAAAAAGGAGGTATGGCGCATGTTTTCAATGCTGAGATGAAATTAAACGTGGAAATAGAAGTACGCGAGGCTGTCAGTTCTTGTTGGGTTTGGGTTTTGTAGCATCGTTTGTGCCACAGTTTCCCTTTCTGTTTAGTGGAAATGATGTTGGATGGGACCTCCTTAGTTTAATGGTGGTGGGGATTTAATGAGATCATGCAGATTACATACTTAGGGCATGCCTGACAGCTAGTACAAAATAAGCACTAGTATTTTCTCGTAACAGTAACGGTCTCCCGTACCAAGTATTGTAGGAAGTTGATGGAGAGAAGACTTAGAGCCCTTGCTCTCTCCTGTAGGGAGACAACAAGCAATCCTAGTGTGAACAAAGAGCAGAGAGCATAGTGGAAAAGGGCATTTAGGGTTTTTTGGGTAGGTTCAGTGTTACCTTAACTTTTCTTTAAAAAAAAAAAAAAAAAAAAAGAAAGAAAGAAAAAGTTACCGGATCAGGTGGCATAGACCTTCAATCCCAGCGTTCAGGAGGCATAGGCAGGTGGATCTCTGCGTTCCAGGCCAGACCGGTCAGCATTGTGAAATCCACCCTATCTCAAAAACCAACCAAGCAAGCAACCAACCAAGCACCCAACCAACCAACTAACCAAGCAACCAAGCAAACAACCAACCAACCACGACAAAAGATAATTGTCTGAGCACTTTCCCATCTGTAGATGCAGTAGAAGAGTGTCCCTCTAAAAATGATGTTGAAGGCCCCAAGGGTATTGCTGCTTGGGCTTGTGGGTAGGATGCTACTCAGTGTGATGCTTCTGGGAAGTAGCATTGGTTGATTTGATGCTTGGGCTTGTCAATACCATTCAGGACCTATACCTTGATTATTAAGTGTGTGTATATATAACACTATGAAACAGTCTTTGCAGGAGGCTGAGGTTACAAAAACAAATATGACTTAATTCCTTTCATAATTACTGTGTAAACATACTCTTGTCATAGAGATCCACACAGTAAAGGTTTTGCCTCCCAGAGCCAGGAAAGACAGATGGCTGGAGAGGGCCTGGGAGGATGGTTCAGTGGTTAAGAGCAGTTGCTGTATTTCCAGAGGACCAGGGTTTGAGTCCTAGAACCCATATGGTGGTTCACAACCATCAGTAACTACAGTGTGAGGGGATTTGATGTCCCCTGGTGGTCTCTGGTTATCAGGCATGCACATACATGTATTCATGGACATGATATGCACAGACATACACACACAGGCAAAACACCCATGCCTGTAAAATGACTATTCTAGGGCTACCTAGAAAAGACAGTATCTATGAAAGGATCATATACTGATTTTGTAGAGTTGCAGAGAAACAAACTATGTCTGGGCCAAAGGAGACATTCAAACATTGGTTTTCTTTATGTAACCTGTTGAGGAGATTATGGCTTATAGCTTTCTTGACTTGGTCTGTTGTGAGAGGGTTCTGGGAAACCATTGATGATTTTGCCAAAAAAAGTGGTTTGATAAAATCCACTTGTGAGGAAAGTCTTTCTTATTGTTGTTGTTGGGGATGAAAGAGAACAGAGAAGCTAGAGGCAGAGGGATGAAGTTGTAGGGAAGGGTAGGGTGGAGACATTTATCAGGTTGAATGGATTGGATTCAGTGACCAACTGCATTGTTGTGCTGGGGTGAAGATGAGAATGCTTCTGAGGTTTTGGTTCTGGTTTTTGTGGAGCAGAGTCCCTGTTTCAGGCAGTTTGGAGATCAGAAAAGAGCTGGTGGCTAGGTGCTCTGGTGGAGAGATGCAGTTGTTTTGGTGCAGAATTCTTGATTCTGGTTCTGCCTTGTTATCCCCCCTCCCACTATTTAAAGGTTGATTTATTTATGTATTTGGGTGTTTTGTCTGCATGTATGTCTGAACACTAGAAGAGGGCCTCAGATCCCATTATAAGTGGTTGTGAGCCAGTTCTTGTTTAACTGCTGAGATATCTCTCTATCCCCTTTCTTTAAAATTTTTAAAGAGAGAGAGAGAGGGAGAGAGACAGAAACAGAAAGATTGTCTACCTAAAGCAGTGGTTCTCAGTCTCCTAATGCTGCCACCCTTTAATACAGTTTCTCATATTCTGGTGACCCCCAAATGGAATATTATTTTTATTGCTACTTCATAACTGCAGTTTTGCTACTGTTAACAAATAATGTAAATATATGATATGCAGGATATGTGTTATGTGATTCCTGTGAAAGGGTAGTTAAACCCCCAGAGAGGTCTTGACCCACATGTTGAGACCTGCTAGTCTATAGGTACTTGCATGTATGCTGGTGTTCTGGAGACCAGAAGAGGGAGTTGGGCCTGCTGGAGGTCGAGTTACACTGGGGTGTGAGCCACCTGATGTTGATGCTGGAAACTGAACACAGGTCCTTTGCAAGAACAGCAGGTGCTCTTAACTGTGTCTTTGGGCAAATCTAGGATTTTCTGGCCCAGACTTAAGACATTCTAAGAGGATTTTTTTTTTCTCTTCAAATTTCTGCTTAAAGTTTTTCTTTTAACTTGCCTTCTAGTTTGCTAATCTTATTTTCTTCATCAAACCTGCCATTGTGTTAATAATTGTATTTTTGAATCAGTCTATTTGTTTTTATATTCTTATACTTTGTTAAAATTGACTTCTCATTTAAGTATATTGGTTATAAATTTTGGACCTGATAACTTACTATTGTTAGTTTTTATCTTGTATGTGTGTGGTTACTTCATTCTTTTTATTAAATTTAAAGCTGAATATTTTGTGTGAAAAAAATAAAGCCAGTTCTGGCTATAGTTTCTTTTTTCCATATTTATTCATTACACTTTATTCACTTCGTATCTCACCTGTAGCCTCTTCCCTCATACCTTCCGGGATTGCTGCTCCCTCTTCTCCCATGCCTCTCCCCCAGTCCACTGATAGGGGAGGTCCTCCTCCCCAGCCATCTGATCTAGCCTATCAGGTCTTATCAGGACTGGCTGCTGGCTATAGTTCTTTATAAACTATTTATAAATTTAAAACCAAAATCAACTTAAAGCCCTCTGTTAGCAAGGAGGGAACAACTATTTTTTTTATTAATTGGAATAAAGTGAACCTTGACCTACATATCAGTGCATTGAGAAAAATATTTCAACATGGAATATAGTTCTAAATATCTAAAGTATTTAGAAGGTGGCTCAGTGAGTAAAAGCACTTGTCATGCTAGTCTGATGGCATGATCCCCAGAACTCAGATAAAATTATATGTGATGCTGTGTATAATTCCAGGACTACAGGTGAAATGGAAGGCAGAGACAGGAGAATCAATGAGGAACTTGTGGGCCAATTAGCAGCCCTGCAGAAATAAAAGAGATCACACCTCAAAAAATGAGGTGGAAAGAGAGAACCGCTCCTAAAAGTTGTCCTTTATCTTAGTTTAGGTTTTTATTGCTGTGATAAAACACCAAAAGCAGCTTGGGAAGGAAGGTATTTATTTCAGTTTACATGTTTCAATCACAGTCTGTCATGAGGGAAATTAGGGCAGAAACTCAAGGCAGGAACTAAACTGGAGGCGATGGAAGAGTACTGCTTGCTTGCTCCTCAAGGCTTGCTCAGCCTGCTTTCTTATACTATTCAGGACTATTCACCCCTGGATGGCATCGTCCTCTCTGAGATAGGCCCACCCACACTAATCATCAGTCAAGAAAATGCACCACAAGCTTCCCACAGGCCAGCATGGTCGGGGCATTTTCACAGTTGAGATTCCATCTCTTCTAAAATGTCTAGCCTGTGCCAAGTTGACATAAAAAGTAGCCAGTATAGACTTTGACATATGTGCCATGACACACATGTACCCACTTGTTTGCTCACTCACTCATTGGCTTGTGCACCCCCATACACATACTAAAAAAAAAAAAAAATTAAAGAGTAAAAATTTGCTATAAGTAGAAGGCCTAGTTATGTGTTCACTAACCTTGTTAGTAACCAGGTGGTGCTTGTGGGTTTTGCTTCATGAACATTTTCTCTGTGCCAGTGCTTGCGTTATGTTTTCAGAGGCTGGGCTGAGATAACTGATGTGTGGATGAGGGAAACTGGAGGGGGAAGAAAAGAATACAACCAATGTCAGAATGCCTTGTGAGGCTGATCATGCTATGGGCAGTTGAAGCTTAATTCCCCAGGAAACATGCAGACTGTATTTCCAACTTACCCTTCTGAAGATGCTTGGCTTAAGTGGTTGATTAACCTGTTGGTCATTGGTTGAATATTGATCCTGATGTCGGCTGGCAGAATCCAGGTATGGACTGAGTGTAATAACATATTCAAAAATGCCACACACAGTGATCTGGTATGAAGAGATTTATCATATGGAGGTGAAGAGAGACAGAGAGACAGTGGAAGAGTGTAGGAGAAGAGAGAAAGGGTGAGGCACCCTAAGAATGAAAGTCAGAAAAGGGGAGAGAAACCAAGGCAGAGAGAGCATGTAATGATGGGCCAGTTCTTTATATTTGGTGTGCACAGGCATGGCGTCGGGTTTCTAGGCAACCTAGGAGTAGGCTAGTGCAATGGCTTGGGAACTAACACTGAGGCCTGTCATGAGTTTCAGTCTGCTCTTCAGTTTAGGTCTTCTCTAGTCTGAGAC